AAATTGAATTACATGTGTCATTTATCTCTGACTCTGGTTTTTTCTGTCAGTGACAGTTAGCCTAATTAACATTTTCTGAAATTACTATTTTCCTTGGATTGCGCTGAATATCATCTTATTACGTTTATGGTCTAATCTATTCTTGGTTAATTGTCTTAAGTAAAATACATAAGTTATAAATACTCTCATATAACACATAACACTGATGCACACTCACAGCATTTTCACACTATTATCTCGTTCACCTATTCACACACTGGTGGGACAGCTATCGGGAGCAATTTGGGGTTCAGTGTCTTGCTCAAGGACACTTTGACATGTGGACTGGAGAAGCTGGGCATCAATTCGTCAACTGTCAGTTTACGAGACAACCTGCTCTACCTCCTGAGCCACAGCCACCCCAGTATAAAGGATCACAACAGTCAGATTTGGTGATATGCAGGTCAATGATATCTAGATATATAGGCTCAAAGTGGGCCATATTTGGCAGTGTTTTTTTTTTTTAGATGTCTGGGTCACACAGAGCCATTGTTTCCACACATTTTAATGCCTATATTTGAGTTTGTAGTTAGGACCTGCTTTACACTGAAAAAGCCAATGAAATGCTTTTGTATATGCAAGACCAATATATAAAAGATACATTTAGTCAAATGTTAACCTGTCTAGACATATTATTACCAGTAAATGAACAATACCATGCTTACAGCAATACTGTTCACAGTTTTTACTAATAAAATGGAGCAAGGAGATAAAAAAAAAAGACTTGTTTGCCTCTGAACTATTAACTACGGACTTGGCATCAGATCTGAAATAAAACCAGCTTTTCCAAACACATTCTCAGAAAGAATTCCCATGATGCACATCGTTCTTTTTTGGTAAGCTGTATGCACTATTTTAATGTCTTGTTGTTATTCTCCAGTCTGAAAAAAACTGAAATGGCTTTTAAAAAAGCAGTGAAACTCTCATATAAAAGCTTGCTCTGCCTTTCGGACTGTTTACTGTGATTATGTTTTCTTCAGAGCAGTGGGTGGTACTCAGCTGCGCCTCGCATCACAGCACCATCGAACCTATAATCACAGAAAATAATGTTGACGCAAGCGTTATTGCTAAACTGTATATATATGTAGGCTGTTGGGAATCTGTAGAGGGATCTATAAAGAGCATTATGGCATTTGCAGAAAGTGGCTGGTTGCTGAAGAGGCAGAAACGTGGCACCTGTAGCCTGAGCATGCTCTTTCATCAGAGTATCAGAGGCTCTCACTGGAGTTGATGTTGCTGCAGGCCACTGCAGACACATGGTACACAACGCAGATGGTGAAGTAAGACACCAAAGGCTGCAGTCAAAACACTGAATGTGTCATGATGACATTTGTGCCACAAGTTATCATATTTTGTAGGCACCAACACTGTCAGTCTACATAACACACACAGTGTTAATGAACAGTAGTGGATTAGTGGTACACATACACAGATGCAGCCTCTTCATACATCACCACAATAATATGTGTTGATTTATAAATGCAGACTCAGGAATGACGCAGAGTAAGATTTGCTGAATAATCCCCTTTCTGGTGCACAAAGGCATAACTTAAGCTGCTACACTGAACACTAAGTCTCTCCAGCACGGCACGCACTAGAGTCTTTCACACTCGAGCAGTCCAAAGAGTTCAGACTGTCTTGTCTCTTGACTTGACACAAACACATGTTTTGTCAAGGTACTACTGGAAAGATACACAGCACTATTTATCAAAATAGAGCAGGCAGGATATCAATGTAATCTCAAACTGCATTCCAGTCAGACAGACACATACCATACATATACATACAGCAGTGCATACAGCTGTTCTGTATTAAGAAAAAAAAATGCACAGGCCTTAATAGACTGTGCTGTTTTTCATTTTATCCAGACAGAACTTCAGCCATAAATTAGCACCACTCCCAACATCAATCTTTATATCACAGAGAAAAGTATGCAAAAGGCAGTCAATATACAAGGATGTAAAGCAAAGAAAACCAGACAGTCCTCACATCTGACATGATGGGATCAGACAGTGTAAATGACAAGCATGCTATTATTTGTCTTTTAATCATTTCTAATTATTTCAGCACAAAATTAACCCCACATATTTATTAAGTACAACAAGGAATTCCTTGTTTTGAAAAAGTCACGCTGAAATTGGATTGCAACTTAGCTGCTGTGATTTTGTGGTTGACCATAAAACTGAGGAGTAGGAAAAATGAATGCTACTCTGACTAATGGGTCATTTGACATATAAAAGCAGCTTATTACACAAAGGTACTGTACGTGACTGGTCCTTAAAATGACTCAGTGATTAACATCCCACCATGCTTAATATTGTGGGTAAAAACCTTTGGCAGGTCCAGCTGCTTATTATTTAGACTCATGAGGCTCAAGGAGAGATGTGTGACTTTTACAGAGATTCTGCATTGTACATTGTTTGACTTATAACCTGCCAAGAAGAACATATATAGTCGTCAGCTATGATGCATTATTTCTAGAATAAGGCTCTATGAGTCACCTCACCACAAATGTCTTGTCTGTGTACAACGGCAGCTTGTCAGAGGAAATTTAGGGCGCAATATTATGATAGAGCTGTATCACGTAAAACCCTTATTACATGTGAATTACCTCTTTTATGCAGCAGGTTGTGCAAGAACAAAAGCAGTGGTTTAATGAGAAGGAAACAACCTTGGATACTTAGATGAGTCATCATTTATTTTGTTCTGAACCAGTGGTTGACTACATGTGTCACCTGTAGTTATTCCCCACAGTGAAAGCTTTTGTCAGAGTGGTTCTGGTGAGTGGTCCTGGTACCGTTTACATTCATTTGGTCCCTTAGCAGGCAGGTAAATGCCAAAACCTGCAATGCCTGTCCATTGGCCATGACAGGTCCCTGAAATGTTAAGCATGGAAATCACGTTTACCATCCTGGCTTTAAGGGACACCCCTTCTTAACCAAGCAGAGCACTACATTTATGCCAGAAAAAAATTTCTGGCTACCACTAAAGTATAAATGTGAAAAAGGAACATTTGTCCAGTTGTGTGTTTTCAGAATATTAAAGCTCAGTGAAGTTCAAGAAGCCAAAAACCAGATCAGAGCATGGATTGGGGCTCATATTTCTGTCCGAACCTGACCCAGACCCGACACACTTATAGTATATAATGTCCAAACCCAACCCAAGCCCAATGTGCTTGAGTTTGTATGGTGTTTTCCCCTTATCATAAACAATGCAGACATTTGAGTGCTCCAGCCGTCTAGCCTAAAGTTTTACCTATATGTCTGATCTTGACCTGAACCTGGACACCATTTCTAAATTTCTGCCGAGCACCTTCAGGTTCTGATGGGTCCCACTGTGCTCAGTTCAGGTATCCACACTCAAGACACTTATTAATGTGTGGCGCTGCTGTAATTTTAGAAGTCAACAGAGTTTTATACTGTACTGAAAAATCAAATAGCTAATTTCAGGCCTGAAACTGAAAGTAATGCCAATTTAAAAACCAAATTTATCTCAAAATCTATCTGTAAAAGGACAACTAGGAATGAATTAAGGAGGACTTTTTTCATATAGGATTTGATCACAAATTACATCATATGTTGGTGAGAATACAATAAAAAAATCATACATTTTTATAACTGAAATGACAATTTTTTGTTGTTAGACATTTAAAAAGCAGATTGATACTAAAGAATAAATGGTCTGGTGTGTGATAGGCTAATCTTTCCACTAATGAGAAAACCCTTTGCTAAAATGTCTATGCAGTACTTCCAAATGATTCAACTATATAATGACCAAAAGTCCCGACCCAATCAAATAGGCTACAGGTAAGATAGAACTGGTAAAATGTGCTTATATATGTATAAAAAAATATTGTGGCAACCAATTCCAAATGTCAGACCCATTCTTAACACCCAGACCATGTCCTTTATTTTACAGATAGGTGATAAAATCACTAGATGAAAACATGAAAATGTACACTTGAGAGCAAACCAGTTCAGCTTGCAGCAGCACTAGCAATTTCAGATGCCTCCTCCAAATGTTGCTCCCTCTACCCATTTCAACCAGCACACAAGTATTTTCAGCATCAGGGCATTTTCAGCACCACCCACTGATGGACAGGTCCTATTCACAGTTTTTAAAAGGGCTATAATTGCCAAAGACTTTTAGGACTCCACTGTTTACATTTTAAAATGCACCCCTGCTGCTTGTGGTTAACCTGCTCCAGCTGTGCTTAAGTTGTAACACCTATGGATGGTTTACCTAGGGTTTTATACATACTGGGTCAGCACGCAGAAGCATGAAAAGAAAGAGGAACTGTGCACGAGGTGTGTGCATGAGCAGATTCTGTAAAATAAAGCTTGGTCTGAAGCTTTTGCTTTACAACACTTCAACTCAAAATGCCCTTCCTGTTTGCCAGTGTGCCCACCTGGCCAATCCGGCGCTCTTTTTGCTGCAAACGTGAATACAGAGAATACCTGAACTGAATTTGAATTACCATATGACGTAGGCCTTTTTCTAGCAGTAATGTCCTGCTGGCAAGAGGGACTATCACAGACCCATACTCTCTCTATAAGCGC